TTATAAATATTATTATTTATAAAACTATACTTTACTTTTATATTTTAAACTAGCTTAAACTAACTTTTAATAGGAGCTAAATTTTTATAGAGAGCTTACTAGTAATTATATAGATAGCTCTAGCGCGTATATAATTTACAATTATACTAGATAAACTTATTAATCTAATTCTTACTAATTTTCTTTTTACTATACTCTTAAAGTAGTCTATTAGTTATATCTTATATATTATCTCTTTTATAGAGTAGTTCTTATCTCGCCTTAACTGTTATATATGTAGTAATAGTCTACTCTTCTAGTTCTATTAAATACTTATAAATAAGCTTTTAGTTATATTAAAAGTACTTTTTATTATAATATTAATATATTATTTATTTAGAGATATTATAGATCTTTTTAGTATATTAAATATTTCAAATTTAGTTTCTAGAAAGCTTAGAGACTACTATTTATATATTAGCTTTAGTATACCTTCTTTAGATTTATAGTTATTAAGATATTACACGTTATTATTAGAACGTTATTTTAGTGGGGGAACTGCGGCGCTTGGTGGGGTGTGGCGCTTGGTGGTGAAACACGTTATAGATAGTCTTATTAAACTTAAATCTAGAAAGACTATTTCTTAAGATATATAATAATATATTTTAAAGTAACGTTTTTAAAATAATTCTTTAAGATTAGTGTTATAAAGATTATAAGATATAAATAGATTGAGTATTTTAGGTAGTACGTAAGTCTTATAATGTATCGTTTTTTATGCTAAGGTAGAAAGCGGGGATGAGCGAAAGAGAGTCTCTTGTGTCTATAAGTTGTGCCTAAGTAGTATTGAGCTAAAGTTCCAACGATTGGCTCACGAACCGCCAGGCTATATCGGGAAGCCAATTGAGACCTAGCTCATCGTATAACCTATTAGGCTCGGTCCGATGCGACGGCATGTATCCTAGCGATTGAGTTACATACCTTATCTTTTGCCCCTCAACAGAATAACAACTCTTAGCAGGCAATCGGACCTTTAGGCTTATAAGTGACTACTGAAGAACGTAACGTTTGTTGTTGTCTATCGTAAAAGAACATCATATCTGTCCACAGAATTAAGAGTGGGCCTTTCATAGCAACTACTTGCGAAAACTATCTTTTTAAGTAAAAAACTTTGTGCATCAATGGACTTTCAACCCCCCGACTCTGCGAGTGGTACGCCGATAGAGGCCAAGAAGCGCTCGAAACTCCGCGCAACGTGCGATGCCTGTATTGCCGCCAGAATCCGATGCAGCCGTAATATGCCTCAATGCGTCCGTTGCCAAGTATACAAGATTGAATGCGTGTATGGAGTTTCAAAGCGCATGGGCCGACCTCGTAAATCAGGAACAGCAAGGAAAGCAAGGGTAGAGCAAAGGGAAGCCTCTATAGAGGATGATGACAGGCCACAAATGGAGAGTCAAAATGCTCCAACACAGCCGGCCGATCAAGACACTGCACATTCAACCGATGGTGTGCAGCAGATATCGAACTCCAAAGGACGGAACGGGTCAACATCCACAACTCCATCTCCAAGGGCATACTCATCTGAAGCCACAATACCCACAGTTGACAGCGACTTGGTCTCAACATCCGAATATTCATTCAACATCATAACTACTGCTATGCACGATGATATGTTTGCCATCGATCAATTGCCGAATGTTGGCTTATTGAGCTCACACGAGGCACTCGACAGCTTGGACAGCCCGCTCCACGCCATATATGGCAGTGGGATTGAAGCACAGGAAATCGATATACACGATATACAGGATCAAAACACTTTGGTCGAAGCTTGCAGGGATCTTGGTGATCGAACATCCATGTGGACGAACAGCAAACAGCAGGATGTTTTTAGCATATTGAATGGTTCACCGGATCTTAATCATCCCGCAAATATTGAAACATATTCTGTTCGCCCAACGACGGATATTACGCTCTTCAGTGACAATCGAGCTCCTATCCTGGACCCCGCGACACCAGAGTTATTCCGCCAACTCCCACTATCACCGGTAAACCAAATCGGCTTTCAAGCTCTTGGGCCCATCAGACCGGAATCTTCAGGCTGTGAATGTTACAAATTGGTACTGCGTTTACTTCTCCAACTAGATGAGGCTCTTCATGACACAAACGCCATGAAACTGGATACCGCCCTCCAAATGAACAAGGACATTTTTGCCCATAGTAAGAAGATGTTGGATTGCTCTTCTTGTACCGGAACACAGTCAAGTCAACATCTCCTTCAGGTCATGCTTGTCGATCGCGGCATTGGGGTGCTGGAATCAAAACTCAAGAATAAATCGCCTAGTATCCCCCCGCCGCGCCTCTCTCCTCTACATCATTTGGCCGACAAGTACCGTGACCAGAAACCTTCTATCATGTTCCCATTCGATGAATTTTCCAATTTTTGGAAAAAAGATATTGTAGAGTCGGCTGAAGACTGTTCTTTGCTCGTTGGTAGCTATGAAATCTCAGTGGAGAAAAATATTTTCATCAAAAAGCTGCTTCAAAAGCGACTAGACAACTGGGCCGCTATGCTAGAGGATCTGCAAAAGATCACACTCGGAACGATTGCAAACTCTAGATCTTAGGTAGTTCGAGTGATGTTGGCTGAGACCACTCTAAAGTTGAGAAGGCTAGTTGGAAGGGTGGAATTATGGAACGTGTAGATGCAATTTAGAATTCCGGATGTTCATAGAGTCGTCATTTAAATGCACTAGCTTTGTACATGTGATCAGACTTTGCACAAATTGATCATTGTAACTTCGTCTTAGTAGGTGTAGTGATGGTCAGAAAACGAATAGTATAAAGCAAAATCTAATCAACGGAGGTACGAATAGTTTGTGAATGAGGGAGACCAGTATGAATGGCATTTCAAATTCAACTACAATGTATTCTCCTAGCCCTATTCACTTCCCTCAAGTTGTTCCACATGCTTTGCCAGACGTTTGGGATGCATTGTGTTGCTGCTGCCGTATGCTCCTTGTACTAGCATATAACTAGTATCCCATTTTCTCTATAAGAGACTCTAGCGCCGATGTCTGGGGCATTCCTCGTGGCCCAGGAAGAAATACCGTACGGTCAACATGGGTCGTTGAGTTGGACCACACTTCATTATCGTGAAGTAATTCTTCTACCCGCGCTGCGTCGACATAAGTTCGAATTTCGACCATTTTCCCATGTTCCCAACGAGTGATCCAAACATTTACCATTGACCAGTTCTCACCTAGTTGAGATGAGCTTCAGATTTGGACAGTCTGTCAGAATTACATACCATTGTTTGCCCGTCCACTAAACAAAACCTCCTGAACACTCCACTTTTGATCGCAACCCCCCGTTATGTACTGAAGCTCGATACGGTACTCGTCAGGATAATTCAGCCTTATGCAGTTGTTGAGTCGGTACAGCGCATTAACATAGAAGTGTTTCAAATCATGATAGTGTCCTGCTAAAGGCTGATGACCAACTATGGTGAAATCGACATCTGGTGATATGTGATTGATTAAGTTAGTCACATCAGTCTCCAGGGAGGAAAAGACAGAGTAGATTCGAGGCTGTGAGACAAATTTACAGTCCAAAGATGGATTGCCAAAAAAGAATCCGTCTTGTGGTGCGATTGGCGGTGATGCTGCTGTCGATTGTAAGGTGGCAGCAAACAGGACACAAAGTGGCCATGAGGCAAAGGGATGCATTGCAGAGAGATGGATAAAGAAGGCAAGAGGTTCAATTCTCAATAGGTAGATAGTGGCGAAGAGTTGCAATGGACCATGAATAGGGTTGCAGATATGTTGGACAATGCTGCATGCACGCTCCGTAATCTTGCAAATGCATAGGAATACAGCTAGACTGGTGAGTAGCTCCGAGAAAGATCCCTTTGTCAACTAGAAAAAGTCAAAATGGTAATTAATTTTAGCACCGCTAGCCGGTGCTCCCTCGGTCCAAAGCTAGCTTATATAAGCATTGGAAAAAGTCGCGCAGTATCTAAAAGCTCCGGAGACATTAGAGTTAATACAAAAGAAAAAGTACACAATCACAACCCCGTTACTATAGGTGGGGAATAATAGTATCCAGGAAAACACGGTGAACAGTTTTTGAACGATTCAGATTTATGTACAGAGATTATGTAACAGTTATCTTAGGGACCTGCTCCATGGGATGTGCAAATATGTGCAACCTAGAAGATAATGCATTATTGAGCTCATACCAAAACTCAACAGCACTGACCAGACGCTTTATTCCTTTGAGGACGCTCTCCATGCAAGTCCCCACCTGTAAGACACAAGGAGGAGTGGTGTGGCTGCTATAATAGCGCCAGCAACACAAGTAAAGCTCCATCCTCTGCCGACCCAGTCGAGCAATGGGTGAATGAGAACCGTGGCAGCCGCTCCAAGTGTACATCTTACCAAGTTGTTGGCTGCCATAGCCGTTGCAGGCTTTGAGTAATTGAGATCGACGACCAATATGTTCATTACGTTGTAGGCCCCAGTAACCGAAAAGGCAATAAGAAAAAGCAAAACCATAGGAGCCCAGATTGGGTTGCGGAAGAAAATGACCCAACCGTAAATACTGATAGACATAGCCGCTAAGACCTTTTCTCCCGTTAGTTCTATAACACCAGGCAAATAGAGGAGTACTCTTACCATCATAGGCAAAGCTATTTGCAGCCGCGTCTTTTCGAAAGGGAAGTTCTCTTTTGCGTTTTGCTCGTTATCATCTCTCTTTTCCAGGGCGGCTTCAACACGTCGGTAGTTCCAATCGACAATTACACCATTTGTGAAAGCACTGAATAGGGTCCCTAGCCCCGCTGGTATGAAGGCTAAACCGATTTGGAGGTCGTTGAATCCATATAAGATCTCGAACTGTGAGGGAACACTAGACATGACAGCGTAGTAGCTCGCGAAGAGAATGCCATTACCAAGCATGACAATTCCCGTAGGGAACTGGAACACGACTCGCAGGGTGACAAGAGGATCGGGTAGACTGATACCTGCTTTTCCTGAGTACGTTAAATCTCTCTCTGGTTCTTCTCCCTCACTACACTGTTTCGGGCTCTGCTTCATCCATTGATAAAGTGTCTGATTGAACCCCAGCGGTTGTACGGATCCATCTTTGACAATTGTTCTGCAAGTTTCCGGAAAGAACAGCAGGAATGGCACGAAGAATAACGTAGCCACAATTGCTAGAAACCAGAATATAGATGGCCAACCGAACCAATGGCTAAGTATGCCACCTATGATTGGTCCGAGGGAGGGGGCGAGCGCAGAGCCAAGTGACGCGATCCCAAGGTACATGCCTCTTTCAGCGGAAGTTACTATATCTGCCGCAACAGCACTCGCAAGAGCGACCATTGGGCTGCTGCCGGAACTTTGAACAGCTCGAAGAATAACGAGAGCAGGAAAGGTTCTCTGCAGAGCAAGAGCTACATCTGAAGCGATGTAGATGAGAAAGCAAAAGATGTAGACAGGCCGGCGTCCAACGACATCAGCGATGGAACCAGCGATAGTCGGCGCAAAAGCTTGTAACAACTTGAAAATATGAAATTAGGTCTCAACTCTAGATTATTGCCATGCGCACCACGTACCATATAGCCCATAATAGTAAAATTCATCATTGCGTGGCTGACGTGGAGATCTTTTGCCATCGAATTTAGCACTGGGTAGTAGATATTTGCTGATAAGGGAGAGAGCGTTGAGGCCAATGAGGCTGTGGAGATCAAAATTCGTTTTTGAGTGGTGGTGAATACGGAGTAGCGCGCCTGTGTGGACTTTCGGTTGAGGAGAGCAGTAGTCTCCGTCGCTTGCTCCTCGGTGTTGGGATTAGCTGCCATTATGATACTTTCAACAGTAGCTCGTTTTTTGTGTCTCAAAGATCTTGGAATGTGTGAAAATAGCTATGAGCAAGTATCTGAATAGAGAAGGGCTTTTCTTTGAATTTTTGAGAGTTCCAAACCTAATTATAGAATCTTACGAATACGTAAAGCTAGGTTTATTACTAGCTCCGGACCTTTACGCATGGGGGATTATAAATCAATCCGGACATTGTTCTTGAGTGCGCGATATCTGGGAAGAATGATTGACGTCTTCCGGCAATGATATCAATGGAAAAGGGTTGTATAGTGATGTGAGTAGAGACACAATATGGAAGCTAAGTAAAAGAAAATTCGAGAGAAGCAATGGGGCATTGGTCCCAAACTCAGTTTTTGGCGCATCAAAATATTGATTTCCATTTTCAAAGTACGTGCAAGCTTCAGTTCTTTTAGCTGTTCAATCCCATTTGTCTAGCATTATAACTTCTGGATATTGTGTCGGCCTTTAGCAAAAAGACCCAAGAACTCTGAAATCATCAGGTCGGGCATTTCCACAGCCTTGATCACTCGCTCTATCTCCTGTGTAGAGAATTGTAACTTCATATTCTTTATGAACTTCTCTTGAACCATTTTCTTTGTGTCGGCACTTTGGACATGGCCGACAGGAAACTCGACAAAGATTTCTTCCGAAATGGTATCGTCGGTAAACGTGATTGTCACCCCCGATGCAAGGCTTTTCTTATCCAGATCCAGATAGTCTTTAGTGAGGTTTTTGTCTTCTGTTAGATGGATATTAGATCGAAGCTCCGAAAGCCGTTCATCACACGCCCAAGGGCTCTCGCTCTTGTAATCGTTACTCTCTGGAGCTGCACCCTTGAGTAAAGCCAAAGCAACCATATATTGCATGCAATGGTCCCTATCAGCAGCATTATGCAGATGCCCTTGTTTGTCAATGATAAGGATAGCTGCGGCTGTCGTTCGTATATCGACTCTCTTGATGTGCTTGTCCGGGGAAAGGCCTTGGGCTCGCATGAGGTTACCGTGTTGCAGGGCTGCTTGTACAGCTGCGATCCCATGACCTTCAACCGGCATGACTTTGAAGATTGTATTTCTGATGACCCAACTATCGTACGGTATGGGAAATTGAAACGGCTGGCCCCCGAACAGAGTATCGTAGAATCCCCATCTTGGTTCAGTCAGTACCGTCTTAGATCCGGGCTGGCCTGTTTGCGCAAAAAGCACAAGCTGCACCGCCCTCATGCAAGCGTCACCAGCAGCCCAGCCCTTACGAGGTATAGTGTTTGTTCCATGGCGGTAAGTGCGGAGAGGGTGGCCATCCATCCATACGTGTGATATTGCAGCCATTGTTTCTTCTTCCGTGAGGCCAAGAAGCCAAGCAACTACGGCAGTAGATGCTAACTTGACCAGAATGACGTGGTCTAAACCATGTTTGTTGAAAGCATTTCGTAAAAGAAAGCACCCTTGAATTTCATAAGCCTTGATCATAGCTGTGAGAAGTGTGCGCATGGTTAATTTGGGACCAGTATGGACGATATCTCCCCTTGCAATGCGATGGCTCTGCCAATCTGCCACAGCTAGGATAGCCCCTAGGTTGTCTAAATCATTGTAAGTATACGAGAATGAGCTCGGAATCATGATCCTCACCAGAAGGGTGGCCCCAATCCGCCCCCGCGATCGCATCGTTATGATCCAGATATCGAATAATCGTTGCCATGTCGAAAGCGCCTTTCAATGGGTCAAGTAAATATGAAGTGCCAGGCAACCTAAAGCCATTCCGATTGACTGTAATTGAGTCAAATGGCCCCAACAATTTGCCACACTCGGCACTCGAAGAGATCGTTTCGATAGCGCATCCCATGGCATCGAGGAGCGCCATCCGCGCGCAATTGAAGACATCCTCATCACCAATGTGATAATCAAATACATAGTTCTTGATATCAATGATGACTTGATCATAAGGTGTAGACGACATTGTGAGATCACTTTAAAAGAATTGCAACACACGAGGAAGAAGTGCAAATGAGCATAACTGGGAAGCGTATTTGTATAAATACCTTCAAATGCAGACCGCATGATTCTCAGACATGTTTGCGTCGCAACTTTCTCGACCTATAATTAGCATTGCTACGTGATGTCGATTCCTTATATGTATCCGGGAATCTTTCTGGTCCCGGGGTGATTAGCTCATCACGCGATTCCACTGAGATCACCCTGCGCACCATGCCTTGCCCGTAACAAAATGACCATCTTCGCGCAGTCGTTTAGCATTTTATAATTTTGCACTGGCAGTATAGACTGGCTCAGTGTCCCCCGTGTAGATGTGGGACGGACGAAAAAGTTTTATTCCGCGCACTGTCTTTGTGAGATATTGACACTTGTAAGAATTGCTAAACTCACCCATCGCCTCACGCCAGTGCGCCATTATTCCAATGAGCCGTTGAGAAATCATAGCTATAGGAATGAAATCGGACTGAAATCCGCTTGAAAGTATGGTCAGCAGACTATCGCATAAGCGCCTTGGCAACTTACACGGCAGTGAAAACAAAGTTCCCATAGAAATCGGCATTCGGATGAAGGCCCCTTGACGTGAAGTAGTCGTCATTGGAAGCAAGTCTTTCAATTTCCTTTGCAATCTCAATCAACGGATCTGAGTTTGCACCCGAGTCTTCAATGAGCTCCTTTATTGGCTTTACACGTGGATCGGTGCCTTTGTAAGTGCGATGCCCATATCCAAATAGTTTTCGTTTGCCTTGCTTTACCTCCGAGATAAACTCGGGGACTTTTGATTTGTCTCCGATACTACGGAGGTTGAGATGCGCAGCCTCAGTCGCACCGAAATGCAGAGGACCATATGCCGCTGCTAGTGAAGCAATTAGACAAGATATGGGGTCCGTGAGTGACGATGCTGTCACCATTGTGGAGAATACAGCCAATGCCATCCCGTGGTCCATATTCAGTGCTGCAAACCGTCGAAAGCATGACACTTTTATCGCATCTGGTCTTCCTGTTAGATCATCGACCATACCGGACATGTGAAACAGATTTTCGATGAAATTGTAATCCAATGAAGGGGCTGTGAACTCAATTCCTTTCCGATGACAGGCAGCCATCCCTACGACAACTGCATATGCAGCAATCGTCTTGATCACTGCTTTGTCAGTCTTTTCGATATTGCCTTGGTAGATGTTTCCGCCGCTTGATGCTGGAATCATATCGGGATTGCCTCCAAGATACGCCGCTAAACCAGCCACGACCATTGGCATGGGAGGGGATGCCGATCTTTCAACACCATATTAGTTTCTTCATCATGGGAAACAACATGCTAATTACTTACGGAAAGGTCGATACTATTTCAAAAACAGTTTTAGGGACCTCTAGCATCGCCGTTATCAATGCCCTTCGTAAAGATTCCTTCTGCACAGGTGTTGGGTATTTATCCCACACCATTAAATGCAGCATATCTTCATAGTCACTCTGCCATAGCTGCTCTAGGCTGTAACCCCTGAAAAGCAGTAAATCTCTTTCTCCGTCTCTAGAAGCTTTTAGTACCTAGTTGATGAGACTCTAGAAGAATTTCTCTTACGCAAAACTCACACCTGTTTCCACCACTGTTGTATTCAGGAGCCCGGGGTCATGCACCCTCAAACCGCTGCCCACTTTGTCTGCTCTACTCGCACTAGATGAGGGAGCTTTGATGTCTTTGAAGGCCGTTGCAAGGATGGAATTTCGCTGGATTGGGACTCTATATTCTAGAGTGGTGCGGGAGTCTCTCACTAAAAGGAAACCGTTGGACATCTTGGATATCGCGATTGAGAGGCAATAATTGTAAATCTTGTTATCTCGAATCAAAATCTAAACGACTAAGATAAGTCTCATGTATAAATTACGGATTAATTATGCAGATAATGTTCGTGGCTGATATGTATGACAATGATTTGAAGGACATTTGGTTCGCTGAACAGCCCGGACACCGGACTCCTTCTTTCAAATCATGCGTGGAGACAATAACGACCCCTTGCGTAACTTCACAACTAAGACAATCAAACAGGTACAAAGTCGTAGGGAAATTCGACACACTGGTGGCTTAGCATTTAACATGTTCTTATTGCTTTGTGATTTACTCAACTTCGAAACTTCTTAGAAATTTAGACATGCTATTATGGATGATCCCGCATTATATACCTGTGTTTTAACCAAAGCGTAGGTCTAGTCTGTTGCCTCAATCGATGATTGTTACCTTGAAACGCTCTATAAATTTTGCAGGGTATAATTGTGCTCACGGTATCAAACACGTATCAAGTTAGTGATTCCTCGCAATAAATCCCCGGCCCCTTTTAAACCGTCGGCAATGACACAATCTGGCTCTTACTCCTACTACCTAGACGGTACCTGGCACGCGAACGGAATTGAATTAAGATGCTCTTGTCACTATAATCAAATGTATGAACTTGTGGGCAAAACATATTATGAAAAGAATCACGTACCAATAGTATCGCAACCTGCTGGTATCCAAGTATTTCGCAGGATGTAGGGTCATGGTAAATAGGTTACATTCCCTATCATTATATTGGCAAGATCTCTTCATGAATGAATTTGTCAAATGACAATACCATTATTAGAAGATAGAGAATGACATAGAAATACCATATAAAACTTTCTAGGTACTGTGGAATTGATACTGTATAAACCGTGAACTGGAATTCTTGCGATATCATAATTTATGCTACTGGAACATGATGTCGCGACTTAATCTCCTAATTGCAGCCGCAACTTTTGCTACAAACTTTGGCTCTTTGGGTATCTCATGTCCTCTGTCGTGTAGCATCAATGTTGCATTCTTATCCCCACAGATCTGATATAGCTTGAGAGAATGTTCGTAAATGAAGTCTTTTCTCCCAACTACATGAAGCGTGGGAATAGTTATCCTGCCCTTGAGATGTTTCTCGAAAATGAAGTCTCCATTTCCATTAACCACAAATGGAGGCAAGCTGTTGAAGAATATTGCGCATTTGAACGGTGGAGCTTCGTATGGGTGCCGAGTTGACCACTGAGCGAGAAACCCACATGCGAGGGTGCCGCCGTGCGAAAAACCGATAACTGCATCGAAAGGCCCTTCTGTCTCAATCAAATCCAAAATTTGATCGTACGCCTCTTCCACAGTAATGCCATCGTCTTCTGATGACCGCGGCCAGTTGTAGTAAGAGTAATATGGGCCTTCGAAAAAGTTCTCAACGTTAGGCCCAGGGCCAGAGTCAATAACCCCTTCTGTAAAATGGAAAGTTGCAGTATGATCTGATTCCAGATCACGAATCAAAGACCCTTGGTACAACTGTTAGAGTATGGTCGTTCGAAGGTAGGGAAGTATTACGAAGCTGGAACTGAAGGATCTAAACATCGATTAGTATGATTTCGCTGGAGTTTTGGATTGTACAACCTTTGTGTTTGTCCCTGCACCGTGTAGGCAAAGGACTCTTAATGGCGGCATGTTGGTGGGGAATGGTACTTTGTTTGACTGTTTTCGTCCAAATAAGTTGCGTGCGCACAATGCAAGCGCAAAGTCTCATGCGTGTATGTAGATGAGAGATATCTTGTAGCTTAAATCTCATTTATTGATTGATTTGTCGATGGTGAAGGTTATGTCTCCGGACGTCGCAGTAATAAGTTACCGGGTGGAGTTTGATGTACCAGGATAACCGTGTGGTAGCTTTGATAATTATGACTACTGATTGGAGGTAAAGCTCGATTTGACGACTGCTAATTAGTGCTACTCTAGCCAAAGCTCGTGACTGAATCAATGCAAGTCTGCTCATGGAACAATGATATTCAACATTTTAGACACCCGATACGGAGTGACACTTCAATTTATTTTCTACATTATCATAAGTGCCCAACCTCTTGTGTGGCCTTGCATGGGGCGCGACTAAGGCTTGTTGTGGTGATGATTCTGGTCGTGCTAGCCCCGCCAGCCCTCTCGACAGAAAACCAATTTGCCGCAACGGGGCTTCCGAGCCCAGTAATTTCCATGAAATATTTGATGTCAAACCCAGATCTAGCATCTACGGTAATGGGAAATACAGATCTGAAACATTCCGGAAAGAGGTATTTCGGAGGCTGTTCGAAAAGCAAGAATATGTAACGATGCTTTTCTCCCTGAGGAGGTTGCGAACCGACATAATGGGCACCTTCGTATGTAGGTATCACGAAATCGCCAGTAGATTGAGATACGTGACAGTTTGGTTGGTACCAATGGAGAATGGTTGTGGCATTGTGATCGTGAACGACGTCAGGGTCAATCAAGAAGAGGATATAGTTGGAATCTGGTTGAAGATGTGTGGGTCTTAAGACGGGCTGGTTTATGACATCTATTTGCGCATACTGTTAGATGTTTCTTATATGTTTTTAGGGATTTCTGACCTATTTGACGAAGACTTTGACCTGGACGGACATGCTGATCACTTAGATAGGTGACATCGAGTGATTTGGTGCATGAAGGCGAGAATTCAGGCGGGGTTTGAGCAACAGCAAACAGAGGCAATAGGTAGAAGAATATCATTTTGATAAGTAGCATTGTAATGGCTGCACAAAAGTGCCCAATATTCTTGAGTGTTTCTCGACAAAATTGATCGATCAAGAGTTTTCCGGGAATCGATGTTATACTTCTGGGTCAGTGGAGCAATAAGTCGGTATCTCTCCCGGACTCCGGCTCTTACAAAAATTGAAAAGCAGTCCAGCTTTATTACAAGGGGCTTTCCCGTCGAGATACCAGTCGGTAACTGCATCGTCGAAAAAGACTATTCACAATGGTATTTCATCCTCCAGAATGGGTTCCCCAAATGCCGTCGATACCAGACTCTACTCCAATTCTTGACTTCCTACTGCAAGAAAAGTTTGGGCGTCATAAGTTATCCCAATCCCATTCACCCTTTGTTTGCGGAATTTCGGGGAGAGAGTATAGCGTACATGAAGTTAGTGAACGGACGACATTAATCGCAAAAGGTCTCCTAAAGAGCCTTGAATGGGAAATCGATTCCAGGAAGCAATGGGAAAAAGTAGTGGGAGTTTTCGCTTTCAATAGTGTGAGGAACTCCGAACATGTAAATTGGAAAACTGATACTAAAATGGCAAATTTTATCAGATTGATACTCTTCCGGTTGCATGGGCTGTACAGCGTCTGAACGGCATTGTCACTCCGGTCAATGCCATGAGTACCGCTGAGGAGCTCACTTCCCAACTACGCTCTGCAGGTGCAAAAGCGCTTTTCACTTGTGCTTCGCTGTTACCTACTGCAATAAGAGCTGCAGATGTTGTTGGAATCCCACGTCGGCATATCTTTTTGCTGGAAGTAGCAACTGACCAAGAAAATTATAGTTCAAGCTACTTCAAAACAGCTTCGAGATTGGCTGCCGAAGGTCAGAGTCTCCCTCCACTTGAGCCAATTGGATGGTCACCCGGTCAAGCGAAAACGCAAGTAGCGTTCCTCTGCTACTCCAGCGGCACGTCTGGAACACCCAAAGGCGTCCTCATTTCCCACTACAATGTAATTTCCAACATCATCCAGATGCACGCCACGGAGCGCAGTGTACGCAAGGAAAGGCTACATTCCACACGCAGCACAGAGTTGGATGTTGGCATATGTGTTCTACCGCTGAGCCATATTTACGCGTTGGTTGCAATCGCCCATACCAGCTTCTATCGAGGCGATAAGTGTGTCATAATGCCGAGATACGAAATAAACGGCTTTCTACAAGCTATTGAAATGTTCAAAGTTAGCTTACTTTATTTGGTAGGCGATGGACTGGACGCTCCAAAGGCCAAACTAATGCTTGTAGGTTCCTCCCATCGTTCTCAATATCCTGCAATCTCCTACACTAGTCAGCAAGTATGACCTCGGTACTATATCTGCCGTCTTCACAGCTGCAGTACCATTAGGAAAGGAAATGGCGCTGGCCCTCGAGCAGGTTTTCCCACAGTGGAAGATTCGTCAGGCTTACGGTTTGTACAACCGTGGCATATGCTTGCGTACCTATTGACACTACTAGGTCTTACGGAGTCATGTGTTGTTGCAACCAATAGTGTTGAAACTGACATCTCACCCGGCTCGTCTGGCTCTCTAATTAGTGGATATGAAGCGAAACTACTTACTCCTGATGGTATCGAGATAACAGCTCTGGATACCCCTGGAGAGCTCTATCTACGCTCCCCTTCTATTACTTCTCTAGGTTATTTCCGAAATCCTGAAGCTAGTAAGGAAACGTTCCTTGAAGAGGGATGGCTGAGAACTGGTGATGAAGCTATGTTCAGGCTGAGTGAGAAAGGCAATGAACACTTATGGATTACCGATCGTTTGAAGGAGTTGATCAAGGTTAATGTGAGTACAAATTTCCCTCTTAATTGCATAACTGCTACCGCTCTAAGCTTTTCGATCCAAATCACTCTCTTTTGATTTCTCTCCAGCCTATAAGAAACCCCGGCATATTGACAGTACCAGGGTTTTCAAGTAGCACCTTCTGAGATAGAGTCTCACCTTCTAGCACACATTGCAGTTGCAGATGTATGCGTTATACCTATTCCAGATTCACGGACTGGAGAGACGCCCAAAGCCTACGTAGTGAAAGCAGGAGATTGCCAGGGAATAGATGACGTGAGCCTCGGGGAGATACTCAAAGTACATGTCCAAGAAGAGAAGGCTCGGTATAAGTGGTTGAAAGAGATAGCATTTGTTGACAGAATTCCAAAGAGTGCAACAGGGAAAACTCTCAGAAACGTGGTTAAAGAATGGGAGAGAAGTTTGCGTAGGCACGAAGGGCCAAGGCTATGATTATCCAACGAGATACAAATTTCTATTACATAAAGTGCAGGCCGGTGCTGTGAAAACGGCCCATACCCTCTACAACTTGACTTGTAAGAAGATTGCTGTGTTGGATAGACCAATTCACAACATTCAATACGGAACGTCTTCATGATATACTGCTCATTACGCTGGATGTCATGCTGAGTCCTGGTTACACGAAAAGAATCTCTTGAGATGAGTTACGCTAGGGAAATATGCATTGGAGGCCAACATACCAATCATGAACGCACAGAGTACAAATCATACTTCTACCTCCGCTCGTCTGCTATGGGCATGCAATTACTGCGCTTGCCAGTTCGTTGCTGCAGTGCGAGATTGTGCATTCCAACCCCAGCTACAACAACTCAAAGCATTTGTACATTTCCAACTTGCCATAATCATAGGTCAAAAACATCACTGACTCTAACGACCTGTCCCGTCGCCATACTCTTATTCCCACATATACCAGTGAGTATACTCAAAGCGCCATCCACATGGCTCGCAGCCCTCATATCTCCATCAATCTCCGCACCGCCTTCCCCAAACAAATCAGCCAGCAGCACTTCATCGCCTCCCCCATGGGCGCCGACACTCTCTGGAATCTCTACGTCGACAGGCTTCTCAAAAAGCTTTCTTAGCGTGATACTTCTCGTCTCGAGGCTGCCCTCAAGAGACTGGGCACCCCCGCTATTCACGTAGCTATTCTCTACAACCTCCATTTCCAGGCGCCCACCTGTTCCGTTGAATGAGACGCGAAATCCCTCCCACGGGGCATACGCCGTGAGCGAGTATGTAAGCACCGCGCCGCTGCGGTAGCGTACCAACAATGACATTGTATCTTCAATGCTGATGCCGTCTCCGAATACCGACTGATCTCTGTAATACGCATCTTCGTGCTCGGCATCCAGGTACATGTGACGCAGCTTTTCATTCTGCTCCATGTGCAGCGCAAACGGATCAGCGGCGGCTACCTTGCTTCCGTGGGCGCGGGCATAAAACGCTGTCGTGCCTCTGGCTTCTGCATTTTCGCGCCCATAGAAGCGCAGGTCGCCTTGCGCGTACACGGTTTCAGGGCGTGACTGCAGCCAAAAATTCACCAGGTCGAAGTGGTGGGTTGACTTGTGTACCAGCAGCCCTCCCGAGTTGCGCTTGTCGCGGTGCCAGCGCCGGAAGTAGTCGGCGCCGTGAGAGGTATTTAGCATCCACTCAAAATGAATGCTGGTTACAGTCCCGATGTCACCACTGCGTAGTATCTCCCATACTTTGGTGTTGTGTGGTGCGTATCGGTAGTTGAATGTTACTCGTACCTTTCGGCCGGTGCGCTCGACAGCATCAAAGATTTCCCGGCACCGCGGCGCATCGATGGTCATGGGCTTCTCAGTCACAACGTTGCAGCCGAGTTCGAGCGCGCGTACAATGTACTTGTTGTGTGTGCGGTCAATAGTTGTGACGATGACTTCGTCGGGTTGTGTCTCATGGATCATGCGGTCAAAGTCTTGCGCTTTGTATGTAGGCACTTGGACGTGCCCGAGAGACTGAAGCTGGGAGTTTGCATAGTCGAGCCGTGTTTGGTTCGTGTCGCATAGGGCTACGATGGCAGAGGTTGTCTTGTATGTTGTTGCTATTGCCGTGTAGAAGAATGAGGAGCGGCCGCCTGTACCAACCAAAGCGTATTTCTTCTGTTTCTTCGTGTCCGTCATCGTCCTAGTAGTAAAAGATCCTTATGTCTAATCTGGGATGAATTGTGTGCTTCATCAAGGTCCTGGTCTGTAATCACTACATCTTGGAAATGTGATGATGGGGTATCGGCATAAAGGTACCCCGGCCTTGCCCCTCCATCTTCGGTGCGTCATAGTCCGAGTTGCACAACCATGACCTGCCGGCACGTAAGTGGCTCAGGTCCACTTGAAGGAGCTACAGACGAACTCTTCTTTGAAGTAAGCGCCTGGAACATTCCACTCCCATGGGGAAATGTAGGCCAGGAATGATTTAGGGTAATAAGGACAGCCTGGGCGGGAAATGCGGCATGCGGTTTGTGTCGCACGTCAAATTAACAGTCATTTGACCGATTCAAGAATGTCATACGTGGATGGTTGTGTCGCTGTGAATGATTGACAAAGAAAGTGAAATCAGAAGATGGGTTACCATGTGCGATATGGCCTTTTACATACACGGACTATCTGGAAGGTTGGGATCTCACTTACTTGGGTCCTGTTTCCCAAGAAGGCATCCTGATCTCTGATACTTATAGTTGGTTGACTCCTTTCGTTTCCTGCCACGTAGACCTTCTCGTATCTTCAATTCTGCGTTCGAAAGTCGTCATGACTACTCAGGTTGAAGATCTCGAAGACGATAAGAATATTACACACCGCAAGCACGCGACACCCACACAAACTACCAGAAAGGGCGATGCTGCGGGCAAGTTTCTACTTGATGCCCACGTAGAAGATGCATCTGTTTCTTGCAAAGATAAGCGTGTGGTGCTGAAACGCATCGACTATCTCGTCCTTCCTCTTTCACTTGGCACCTACTTCTTCCAGTAACTCGAAAAGTTTTCACTGTCCTACATCTCAATATTCTGCTTCTGAGAAGACAAAAATCTCGTCGGGCGACAGTACTCATGGTTAGGATCAATTGTCTCCCTTGCGCAATTGGTCATGCAGCCCCCTGCTGCATATTCGTTGGGAAGACTGCCCACTGGTAAAGCCGTTGAAGCAGCCGTATTCTTATAGCGCATCAGTCTGGCCGTCGTGTCGGCTTGTCCAGGCTTTCCGAGTCTTCTCAGACTATGTTTCGCCCTCGGCTCTTTTGAAGAAATGATTGCGCCGACTTGAGTCGCTACCACGACTATCGTACTCTGTAGATTATGCGCCGCTTTACCGCGCCGGTCAATTCATTCAACCCAGAATGAACTTGGTACAAAGCTATATACAACTCCCCATATCAAAGCCGGCAAATAAAGTCTTGCGTAGCCTACCCGTTTGGTAATGGGACAAAAGTAAGAAAACACGGTTGTTACAAGGCACACTTTAAATGATACTCGTCGATAAACTCTTTTTTAACCGGCGAAGTCATCAACAATCGCAAGCCGACGAGCATTTACTCGCCTCGCGATTGTGGTAGGGATATACATATTTCCTTAGAAACACACGAGTACATGGATAGCTAAGGAGTGATTCCATTTAGCGATGACTCACTAAGAGCAATGTTTCGTTTTCGCCCTCTCCAGGACTGTAAGAGTAGGCATTTGGCGCGGACTCTCTGGAGCTTTGATACGCTTGGTCGTTGGCACCATCTGCACCATCCTTGTAAACCTTCATGGTATCTTCAGTGTCCAAGTTTCACGCTGTACATGCATGATGTTTTCACGCACATACAGTAGCTTCAGGTTGATAGCACAAAGTTTTATTTTCAAAGAAATGTGTTAATAAATATAGGGTTGACAGAGAAAAGAAGTTTATATACACCAAATGCCGAAAGCCTCTGAAAAGCCCTGGACACAGGACTTTACACGGCTCAAGCCAGAGCAGAACAAAGCTCATTGTAAGACGGTTTGGCCTGGAAGGAGCCATCGAACAGGAGAGGTCCACCGGCAGCACCGATCCAAGAGTTGGTGTCAGAAACACCCCAAACAGTGATACCGACACAATTCTTGATATCGACACAAGCATCGAAGACGGTGACCCAATCAGCGGGCTTGCCGTTGTTGATATCCAACTCGGTTACGGCGCACTCGGGGGCGGCATCACAGAGAGCCTTCAAAGCAGCAGGGACACCAGAGATGGGGAAAAGAGTGCCTGGGGAGCTGACGTGGGACTGGGAGCCGATGCCGTCGATGGGAACACCGGCAGCAATCCATTGCTTCACGTGGGTAATCATGCCCTTTGTCTTGCCATAGTTTGCGCCGTCAAGGTTGTAGTCGTTGATGTAGAGCTTGGCGAGAGGATCGGCCTGGCGGGCAGCGTGGAAAGCGGTAGAGACGAAGCCCTCACCGAGAACGTTGTAGAAGACGCTGGAGCGGAATCCACCTTGCTCGTCAAAGATTTCGTTCACAACATCCCAGGCGTAGATCTTGCCAGCATAAGTGCCAACGAGCTTCTTGATGTGGTTAACCATGACCTCTTCGAGCTTGGCCTTGTCGCGGATCTGAGAGACCCATGGAGCTAACTGAGAGTGCCAGACGGTAGTGTGACCGCGAATGAGTTTACCGTTACCTGTGGCGAAGGAGACAAGAGCATTGGCGCCGTCAAGAGTGAATTGGCCCTCGCTGCGCTCAGTGGCATCCCACTTCATGCTGTTCTCGGGAGTAACGCAGCCAAAGTTATCGACAATGACCTCCTTGTTCTTGCCCGCACTGAGAGTGTACTGATCAGTGGCAACACCAACGTATTTCTTGCCCTTGGCCTTGAAGGCAGCATCAAGATTGCATTTGGCGCCGTTGCGGCCGCTGCCAGCAACATTGGGAGCAGGGGTGTTTCCCCCAGAGCCAGCAGATGGAGAGGGGGAAGCGGAAGGAGCGGGTTTAACGATAGAACTGCTTGCGGATGTAGCAGTTGGAGAAGGGGAAGCAGCTGGGGAAGGAGAAACAGTCAGAGAAGGAGAAGGAGAAGCAGCGGGCTTAACACCTGAGTTGCCACCAGAGGCAGCAGTTGCAGATGGCGATGGAACAGGTTCGTCATCAGCCTCACAAGACTCATCATCACCTTCATTTCCCCCAGTGGCAGCATCGCCACCCTCCTCATCGGCGTCGCAGGACTCGTCGTCGCCTCCATTTGCATCCGCGTTAGCATCGCCGCCCTCCTCATCAGCATCGCAGGACTCGTCTTCAGCAGGCGAGGCAGCAGGGGTAGCAACAGGTGCGGTACCGTTAGGCTCGATAGCTGGGGCTTTGCTGGGCAAGCTGGGAACAGCAGAAGTGCTGGCGGCAGATGGAGGCGCAGCACCTCCGCCAGGAATGCACTGACTGTACCAGTCGTTGTACTTGTTGCAGGTCCAGCCAGAAGCGCAGGCACTGTCGCCTTTATAGTTGACGCCGCCGCACTGGCCAAAGGGAGCCACGGCAGCGAGAGCCGTCGTCGAGGTCAAGCCAACAACGGCCATGTAGATGGATGCATCGCGGAAGTGCATTGTTGTTGTTGTTGTATGTAGTTTGTGATTTGATTGGTGGAGAGAGTTATGGAAATGGTGTGGTGTAAGGGAAAAAGAATGGAAGGAATAGAAGCTCGCTCCTATGCTATTTCAACAAACTCAAGAAAAAGAAGGTCACGGAAGCACGCTTCCAAATGAAGATAGAGAGTGTGGGATGAGAATGCAGGAGAATAGTTCCGGGTGATTATAGGGCAGATTGACTCTGCATCTTATACCTTTTCCACATTATCTGCATCGAGTGACATGCCGTGTTCGGTGAAACAAGCATGGAGTGGGTCGGTGGAATATGGTCAGTGGTTCCTCATGTTGTTTCATGAAACCGGTAGAAACGCCAGCCATCCTGGGAAGTCATTTTAGCGATCCATGCGTCCCGCTCGAGACCGGCAAGTGCTTGATAGCGCTGTTTCCTACGTTGGAGACTGCGGCATGGGGGGGGGGGGGGGGGGGGGGTGCGATGAGAGCATGCAGTGGAGCAGGATCTACTGCAGAGGAAAAATTTAAAGATAAAAATCCGAGCTCTTTGATGGGAACAAGGCAGGCATTGCAGGCAGCTGGAGTACATAGTCAAGATGTCTGAGAGTGGACACGATGGCTGTGCGTATGTGTGTGTGGGCATGCTTACTTTAGTCCTAACGGCTGCGAAGCAGCAGCCGAGTCTCATCTAAATGAGACGCTAAGCCGAATGCGGGTAAGGCGTCATCTAAGCGCGGTACCTGCATGGTGTTTGGGGGCTAGGGGCTGGTTATGAAATGCTTCGTCCACCTTCCTTGGACTCGGCACGGGAATTGCGCGAAGGCTGGATGCCGTTAAGCTTTTCACTCTTGTCAACTGATGCTTACATTCAATCTAAGACCTGCCTCGCACCACTGATTAAGGTTTGCCCTTCTACGACTTGTATACATGAATCACATGAGGGTTGCAGTATGCGAGCAGACCCGTCGTTCCCCACTCGCCGCCAATGCCAGACTCCTTGTGGCCGCCAAACAGGGCCTGGGGCGTGGGCTTCTCGAACGAATTGACAAACACTGAGCCCGCTTCCAAGCGTCGTGCAATCTTGCTGGCCTTTTCCACATCCTTACCCCACACACAGGCGCCAAGGCCAGTGTTTGTGTCGTTTGCCCGGGCAATCACCTCGTCCAGATCTGACCATGGCTGTGTAGGCACGATAGGGCCGAATGGCTCTTCCTGAATAATACGAGAGTCGTTTGGCGGGTTGTCGATGATGGTTGGGGTAATGAAGAATCCCTTGCTAGCAGCGACATCGGGCTCACCAACGGCGAAATTGTAGCCCTTGGACTTGCTGTCCTCGAAGAAACCCTTGACGCGCTCGTATTGCATTTGGTTCTGGACAGGTCCCAGCATGTTGTCGCCGTCGTCTGGGCTTCCAACCTTGATTTGCTTGGTGAAGTTGACCATCTCTTGGAGGAACTCCTTGTAGATGGACTCGTGGATGTAGATTCGCTTCGTGGCAACGCAAACTTGGCCAGAGTTCTGGAAAGCACCCATGACAACCTCTGGTGCGACCTTCTTGATATCCACGTCGGGCAGGACAATGGATGCATCGTTTCCTCCCAGCTCGAGCGTGACACGCTTGAGCGTCTTTGCGCATGTCTCCATGACCTTCTTGCCCGTGGCGGTAGATCCGGTAAAGCTAATCTTGGCGATACCAGGATGCAGACACATCTGGACACCAAGTTCATTGTTGCCGCCAACCACTTGGAGAACGCCCGGTGGAAGAATCTCTTGAGCAAGCTCAACAAACTTCAGAGCAGTGTAGGGTGTAAAGGGCGACGGTTTGACAATCATGCAGTTTCCTGTCAGGAGTGCAGGCGCGACCTTTCCGACCATCAGGATCAAGGGAAAGTTCCAAGGGCAGATGGCACCACAGACTCCAAGCGGCGAGTACTCGGTGTAGACGGTCTTCTCATCATCCTCAAGCTTCTCAGTGGGCAGATCGAGTGTAAGGTGGTGGCCGATGAAACCCGCAACGGAACCAACTTCAAAGGCAGACCATTTCCTCTATTTCGTTGTTAGCACAGTGCTGATTAAAGACACTAGCGCACTCGACTTTCCGAGTACATACCGGCTTTCCAGACTCCTTGCATAGCAGGTTGACAAACTCGTCATTGTGCTGTTGGAACGATTCCATGACCTTGGCCAGCAAGGCCTTCCTCTCCTCAACGGCAGTATCCCTCCATGCTGGAAAGGCCTTCTTGGCCGAGGCAACAGCGTCGTCGAGATCCTTCTCGCTGGCAATGGGCACGTCCCACAGCTCCTGGCTTGTGGCGGGGTTGATGCCGTGGTGAATCTGGTCGGAGCCGCGCTGCTGGCCATCGACAATGTTGTAGAACTTTTCGAAATCGAGCGTGGAAACCTTGCCTGGAGACATTATGGCAACTGAATGAGGACTTTTGGGATGGGGTATATGGGCGAGTATGTGAAGGACGATGCGGGCCCTCGAGGGGATGCGGGTTTCTACTTAAGTCTGCATTGGAACAGCACATGCCCTTGGCCTTGCGGCCGCGCAGATTCGGCCTATGGTCTGGTAACCATCCTCGGTAAGTTGGTTCGGCAGGTGGTGGACACAGGTGGTGGGTTTGGCAGTTTTCGGGTTGGCTTAGCAGTGACCTTGCGACGCTGCCGCCCCACTTGCAGCCCCAGAATCGCGGGGCGAGTACCAGTCTAGGCTTGCATGCCTGCATCATCCCACCTGCCCCTCACCTGCTGCCCGCTGCCCGCCCTCTTTCACCTTCATCGTGCAGTCTCAATCCCTCTGCCTTCACCACCACTCGCCATCTGCCGAGGCACGCACTTCTCGACTCTCTACACTCGCGCCGCCGCCTTCGGGCCTGTTCTCGGCATTCTGACAAATATATCATGCTGCGGGCCGGCCACAGTACGGAAACCACGCGCATCGCCATTGCTGAGGCGTGTTGGTAGAAGCGACCCTGCCAAGCGGCGTATCCATCCCTCCTCTGTCCTAGAGTATCTATGCCCCGCCGGGCGTGCTTTCAGCGGTCTGCAAAAGTGGACTATCAGTCTCTGGTGACGAGTCATGCTTTCCGCGTCTCCGCCAGCAGCGTGCTGATGAGCGGTTGACGAAGCGCAATCAGGTTTAGTACCGACGGCCTAGTGCGAACAAAATTCTTTGCTACACTACTACCCTGCACCGTTTTCAGACTTGCCACACTACTACTACCACTGCATGGTCTCAAATCTGCGCTTCGAGCCGCGGCTGTCGCCTGACAAATGCACGTTGATACTTAGGGTTACCGTTGCGACCGGATGGGGCGTCGCCCTTAGCGGGCTCCACGCTCTGTAAGTTGTGGAACAACGCGTATAAGAGCACAGGCGAACAAGGCGAGTAGATTGTTGACAACGTGGTTTCAGATGAGGGACGTCTTGTCCAAAAGCATTGTTGTCCAAGTATACCTTGCGAGTGTCAGAAGCTGCCGGGCGTCCTCTAACGTATACCATTTGTCATCTGGGTGACTTGCAGAGGGACGTGGGCAAGCTCGGGCCCAGAGAGTTGCTCGTTACCTAGAGTCCGCTAGTCTGGCTACAAAAATGTCGCATTTTTCCAGTCAAGGTTTGTGGCAGTACCCATGGAACTTGTTCTTCTCATGATAAAGAATACAATGACGGAAATCTGGCGCGGTAAATGTTTCGAGGACTTTTCGTACGCAAGCAGAATGCAGTCTCTTTCCACCCCCCGGAACCATCGGCTGTGGCGATGGCTAAAGCCATCGTCACGTGTCTGAGTATGTACCTGCCCATCTAGGGGCTGGTTGACACCTCATGGGTTGTTCCCATCAGTCATGTGAACCTGATTACATATGCATTCAAGCATATTTGCACTTCTACTCTGCATCGAGGCTTGCGCTCGATAAATGTGATAATTCACACGCCAAATCGCAAGCTCTCACCAATACCTCATCAGTTGACTGCTTTGCGCCCTTTCGCTAAATGACTCACCAACTCAGGCCTCGAGAGATGTACGGTCTTCCATTGTACCAAGATATCAGCTCTCTAAATACTCAGTGTGTCTTATCGTTTAAATGCCATTCCACAACGCACAGAGAGGATCGTCAGTTACCGTTTAAACATATTGTATTATCTCTCTAAGCCGGAAGTCAAATACGATTCAGACTAGAAGGCTGCGTCGACTCGGAGCTATAGAGAGGCTGGTAAACGAAGTGCGGAAAACAAAAAAGGGCGCAACTGGTTTTGACCCACGGTACGATACTGGACCTAGTGCTCAAAGCATAACGATAACCAAACAAACGACTCCAGATACTTGAGTCACATCATAGCCAACCTATCTATATTGGATCGAGACCTCCCTACAACTTCATATGACCAACTCGTATCTTGTCTTTAGATACTCGACACAGCACCTTTCACAACACCTATCCAAGTCGACACAGCACCACAACCATCCAGCAACGGAAGAGAGAGAGAGAGACAAACATGTCAGAACTAGTATCAACCGACTCCCCATGCTCTGCTGAACCTTTCTTCTTCTGGAAACATGGTGAGAGCAATGGCTACCTCTGCCAATGGTATGCCTCCCCCTTCACTGTCTCAGACACTACGTATGCGACATGCGAAATGTACATGATGATTCAAAAAGCGCTGCTTTTCAACGACGATGAGACGGCGCAAAGAATGCTCCGAACAACCGATCCACGCAAGCACAAAGGACTAGGGCGCAAGGTGCAAGGATTCGATCAGGCAGTATGGGATAAGCGTACGTCTTCCCGGTTTCCCACTGTTGCACCTTCTTATTTGTCGTCACGTGAGAGAACTGACCAAGGCTTGGGTACTGGAATAGATAAATTCGACGTCGTTATGCAGGCATCATATTGCAAATTTACTATTAGCCGACATGCAGAGCGCTTGCGGCGTATGCTGCTTGCAACGGGGGAATGCGAGCTGATCGAAGCGAGTCCGTTCGACAGCGTGTGGGGCATTGGATTCAAGCAGGCAGACGCCATGCTGAACCGCGAGTTTTGGGGAGAGAATCTATTAGGGAAGGCACTGATGGAAGTGAGGAAGCGGTTGAGGGATGAAGAGAATGCAAAGGAGGAGCAAGCGAAGCGGGATCGTGAGCAATGGAAGCAGAGTTTTTCGGATAGAGTAAGGTCTGCGGCCAAGGGGAGGGAAAATCAAGAGGGAGAGGCGAGCAGATGATGGGAAGGTCATGGCAAGGTGATGGTGCATGGCGAGTAACATATGACATCGCATAGTATTATATCAAGGGACTCGAAGCACCTGGATGTATGGGTTATAAAACATATTTTTTTTTCATTTGGAAGACCCGTTGCACATGACAAGGTTTTGCAACGGAAGAGGACCATATTCTACGGAGCAAAACAAAACAAAACACCAGTCCTTCAACTCCAATGATAACAGTATACCAGGCTTAGCACTTCTTCCACTGAAAGTACAAATTGGATGTAAACCTGCCAGACTCCTTGGTTGCAGCGAGCACACCATTAGCAGGCGTAGCAAACGGCGTCAGGGCAACCTCGCTGTTGATATTGAACAAGGCGTCGTTGCCGCAGGGTGACCAGACTGCCGCCGGCACATTATCCTGCTTGTAGTATTTGCCGTTGAACGGACCGGCGATGACTAGCGCCGACGATGTTTGGTCCTGCTCGCCGGAAAAGTAATAGGTTGACTTTACAACACCCGTGACGCCAGTGTCAAGGTCGCCCCAGCCAGAGTAGTCGGCGCTGAAGACGGCAAAAGAGAAGCCTGGGCTGAACTCGAGAGCGAGGTTGATCTGACAATTCTTTCGTGACTCTTCGGGGCCTTTGCCGCTGCCCACGCGTGCAGTGAATTGTTTGTTGAAGTCTATTGGGGTTTGTAGGTCAGCATGCATACCCAACCAAGCGCAGTAGAAGGGAGGATGATATAGGGGAAGGCTCACAGATGGGGAGAATGCCTTGATCAGTCCAGTCGATGTCGATGCTGCCTTGAGGACATCCCGAGCCGCCAGATACCACACTTTTGATCTTGAAGGAATCTGGGGCTTGGTATGTTGGTGCAGCGGCTGCGACGGCCGCAAGCACAAGGGTAGCCAATGCACACTTCATGGTAATGTGCTTCAAGGTGAAATGAATCAAAAGACGGTCAATTCCAAGTCAGAGGTGCTATGAGATGCAAAAGGCTAATGTTTCCATTCTCAGATCATGGGCATACATGGTTTATATGTTGCCACGGGCTGCGAGTGTGCGACCTAGAACCCCAGGTGGTCCAACGCTACATACTTTTAGTCTCAAGATAGTTCTGTACTAAGATCAATCACCTGCCCCCTGCGCAATGCAGAACAAGGCAGCTGATTGGGAACCACATACAACAAGCTCGAGACAAGATGGCCAATGGTTGGTGGTAGTTTGGTGGCTACGTTCAGCTCCTGTATCGCCGCCTCGGAGACAGCAACGAACCAGGCATGGTTGCCATGCGTGCGATATGAAGCTGCGCTCGTCGATATTACCTGTAGACTGGTAGACACGGGAGACAGGCCGAGGAGGAAATGGGAAGCTGCATGGGCTGAACGCAGGGCAGCCGTCGCTCTGGAACTGTCGGCTTCTCGAGCAAACCTTGCTGCAATCAACATGGAGACTACCTGATTTTGGCCTCGAGGTGGATTGTGGCATGCTGGATACGCGAGAGTCTCCAATATAATAGATTGAAAGACCCGGTCGAGGTCACGACTCGGAGACGGAACGGTAGATTGCGGGCTGGGTTTTTTCTGGGGAAACTTTGGCTGCTTTAGCGAGTATGAGGGATCATTAAACTTTTTCTTTTCTTCTCTTTTCTCTTTTCCAGCAATGGTTCGAGTACTGCATTGGTATAGAGTTCGTATTCTTCATCAATGGGCCTTGCGCATGGTGCGTGTGCTGTCAGCACAATTGGGACATGGGAACATGACAGAACAATTACCCAAAATACCTTGGTTTCACGGACATTGGTGTGCAAGCTTGTGAGGGGCAAAACCGTTCAGCGGCCGTTCTCGAATATGCGGGCTGGGTAAATGGACCAGGACGCCACGACAGGTAACACGCCACTGTTGCCAAGGGTTAGAGTATGCGCCTAAACGTTACCATACATGGTGCACACGCCACCATCCAGGGCAGTACTAGCCGGGGGAGCGAGAGAAGATAAGAGAGAGTAAACGTGTTCGTAGCGCAATGCGTCATGTTGTGGTGGATATTATGGTAACATTAACCTGCCAGCTAACGCCTCTTGTTAACCCAATACTCGTATACATACAAGAGCTGAATCTGCAGTGCGGCCTAGAACAACAGATGAACGCCGTGGCAGACCCGCCAATGCAATGCCTGGTAGAGTACAAACGACTATTCCTCTGCCTCGGTGTTCCAAATCTCCACCTCTCTATTCTCCAGTTCCTTCATCTTGTCCTCGCCAAAAATGGTCTCGGTTGGTAAACCAGTTTTGCCGTAGTTGACTACCGGCCCGATGGTGTTGAGCCATTGTGTTCTCCTCTCCATGAGCGTGCGGATTGGCTCGCCGACACCTGGCCTCGAGATGCCAGCATTGGCGACAGGGTGACTGCCACCACCAGCGCCACCAGGCCGTTTATTTTGTTTCTTGCCCTTACCAAGATTGCGATTACGCTTAAGATACGCTGCATTTAACTGATTGTCCAGATCGTCGGCTATGGTGTTGTATTCCTGTTGGGCTATCCGCTCTTCCGTGAGCTCTAGGAGGCGCTGTTTTCGCGCGCCGTTGATGATGGATTGTTTGCGGAGCTCTTCCTGCAAAAAGCGCAGTCGCTGCGCGACTTCATCGTCAAAGTGAGAATCATATGATTGGGCTTCAGCGTCCGTCTCAGAAATGAAGCCAAAATGCTTGAGTTCCATCAGTATACGATCCTCCATGCCCACAAAGTCAGTGCGTGCACCTTGGACTGGGGGCTTCCAGCCAGGCTGGACGAGGTCGGGGAGTTGGGCTGCAGCAGCAAGAGAGTTGGTATTGCTCATGTCTGGCGGTGCGCCTGCGCCCTCGTCAATGTCCATGGCATCTCCGCCAATGCCGTTTGTCTCATTTTGGTGGTTCTGGTTGCCCCGTCCTTCTGGTCGTAGTGTGGCCAGCAAACGTGACAGTAAAGGACCAGCTGAGACTTGGTCTGTTTCCAGCACCTCGTCTGATATGTCTTCAGCTGAACCACGCGGGATGTTGGGAGGTGGCCGCTGGTCAGTCGAGTCAATGTGCATGGATCCGTCTTCTTCCGCCCAAATCTCCTTGTAGTGTCGCGGCCCACGTCTGGGTAACACAAAGGGCGCTACCCGGTCGCCTCGTTCCTTTAGGAAAGCAACGTCTTCTTCTGTCAGTGGCCTAATGTAGGGCTCGACGTAATTGGCAAACACCGTGGCGTTGACCTGTGACGGCGGCTTCGCATTGGAAAAGTCCTTGTCCGGAGGCGAGCCGGCTATCTTGTCGCGCAAATCGGTGACGGGGAATTGAGCGACGCAGTAGATTTCCTTCTTCTCTTCTATTGACATGCCCGGAGTCACCTCGCGGATGTGATATATGGTAGGGTCGTCGAACTTGGCGGGGTCGGGCCCAAAGGTCTGGAACTGTGGTACGGCAGGGGCGGGGGCGGGTTGATGGGAGACGTCAGAGGCGCTGGGCGAAGGGGCATCTGCTGGGCCTGTGCCAGCAGCCGAGGGTGGTGCCTGTGAGACGGGAGAGGATATGGCTGAGGAGTTGTCTGGTGGTTGAGTTAGCGAACTGTTGGATCGCATGGCCCTGAGCCTGGATGACATGCCCGGGGAAGCCATAGTTGGCTGAGCTTGGTCACGTATTTAGGGCAACACAATGCAGGCCAGGTAAGAAAGGGCGTGTAATTGCATGGCGGTCTTGAAGGAAACGAAGACAAAGAAGAGGGCGAAGACGAAGGGGTTAGAACAGTGGACTTGCCTTTGTCACCTCCGTCCTGTCTGGCGACGCCGTGGGCGCCGACTGCGGGAGGGTGCTTTCCATTGTCGTCGTGCTTGGGATTGGCCTTTTTGAGCTTGTGCTTGCGGTCGCGGTCGTCGGTCGCCTTGTCCTTTTCTCGGTCACGCGGAGCACGGCTCTTCTTGAAGCTCATGAGCTCTCTCAGGGCGCCTTCTGACTGAACACAGCGCGACTCTACATTTTTCAGCACCGTCTTCTCGATGTTGTCGCGCATAGTCAGCAGCTGCTTGCCCGAGGGAATGTGGGAGCCATTGCCGGCCGTCTCGAGGATCTCCTCGACCGTAACGGGGCACTTTTTCAGGTACGAAGTGAGGCGGCCGCCAAAGTGCGACGAGGCCGACGAAGGCTCGACCGAGGCGCGCACATTGGGCAGGGGAGTGGTGTTGCGGCTGCGGGGAGTCTGTGAGGGCTTGGAGCCGGGCTTTGTGGCCTTGGCCTTGCCGCTGAGGCCGGTAGGCGCCATGGAGGGCGTGTGGTGAATCGAGAGGGAAGGCAGAGAGGCAGAGGGCAGGCGCGCTGGGATATGCGGGGAAGGCGCGCGCACAGAGGCGGGCGACGGCGACGGCGACGGCGACGGTGATGGCGATGCCTGGACGGAGCTGCTAGTCTGTAGTGGTCGAGTCGAGGATGCGCATCAGCATCAGCACCAGCATCAACACCAGCGACGGCGACGGCGACGGCGACGACGGTGGAGAGAAGGCGTGGGGGCAGGCAGCGCAGGTAGAGTGGTTGTGGTTGCAGTTGCGGACACCGTCGTCATGGCCATGGCTGCGCGGGCAAGGCGGCGATGGCGTCTCGTCTCGTCTCGGCTGGCGTGGTGTGGTTGGTCTCTGTGCCAAGCTGCGCCTCATGGGGTGGCTGCCGCAGCCACCACACGCCCACCATGTGCTTACTGTGTACTCTAGTAGCGACAATACAGTAGTACTGTACAATACACCACACTACATAGGATACGCATACAGGCATAGCAATAGTATGTACATGCCTGCATACATGCATACTTATCCACAGGCCCCGCAACGTCATCATGCCCGGGAAATAAGCTGCCGTGTGCATGCACTGCAGACCATGTGTATGTTGTCGCCAACCAGCCACCCTCAGCGACAGCCGTACCCATCTACTTGCTTGACATGCTCAGATGGAGACATGAGCTTGCATGGATGCATACCCACCTACGTCTCTAAGTAGGCACTTGCGCAGTATAGCATGCGTAGGAGCAAGGAGTAGGTGTAAGTATAGTACAATATGGGCCGGGCTCGGCGTTTCTCAAGTCCGCACGGGCGGCGCGGCTGTGGCCACCAGCCTCCAGCCTCTCCCTCCCAGCTCCGCTCTCTAGCCACCGCTGGCGCGAGGACATGTGCATTCGTCACCACGGCTGCCGCTGACTGCCCCGACGACGTGCCCGCCATCTGCCTCGCTTCCGCCCTCTCCGCTTTGTCGTCGCCATCGTCGCCTTCGTCGCCCTCGTCGCCCTCAGCATGGTCTGCACTCGTGTCGTGTAGTGTAGTGTAGTCGTCGGTGCATACTAGCGACGCCCGTCTAGCCCGCCCCTGTAGCTGTTGCTGTTGCGGTTGCGGTTGCGGTTGCGCCTTCCACAATGTGTACGTCACACCCGCTTGCTGCTCACTCCCCACTCACTGTCCACTTCCTACTACCCGATACCAACGACGCTCTACCATCTACCCACCTACTGACTGACACGACATTTCGCAGCTGCCCAACGCATTGCCATTTTCACCATTGACTTCCCCGACCCTCGCTTCATCGACTACGACAACAACCAGTTCCAGTCGCTCAACGAGTCCCTTGGCTTCCGCTACAATATTCTCAACAACATTCAGACTCTGTCCACCAAAGGCATCGACCCGGACCAGGATCCTTTTGGCATTCTCTATGTACCCCAGGTCTATACTTCGGGCTGTAAAGAGGCCCAGGCCCAATACGTTCCTGCAAACGCCACGCGCCTAGAAAACCTGCCAACTGACAAGGACTACGCCCTCATCGCCGTTGCCCCTTGGTACTCGCCCCAGTGCACTATTGAGTACTTCACCGAGGCCCGCAAGCACTCGACCAAAGCCTTCATCACCTACCTGCCTGGCGATAGCAATGCAAAACCCCCCGTGCTCAACGACGCCGCATGGAACCTCGAGGATGGCGGAAGCTGGCAGTCGCGCAACAAGTTTCCCACCTATGCCGTTTCCTCCATGACTGGATCCAACATCATGGACCAGCTGAACCTCTACTCCGGAAACCTGACCGACGTACCCCATGCAGATCAACTGTCCCAGCTATACGCCAAAACCGACTATATCCGCCTCTGGGCCAACATTGGCACAGGTCAGTAGCCACTGCCTCTTTGCATACATTGTACTCACACTCTGCCCAGACTCTACCAGTCAGCTTCCCAGTCTTTGGGTCTTCCTTGTCATAGTATTGGCCATCCTGCTCGTTGCTGTTAGCTTCACTTCTGTCGTTATGCACATCATCCAGCGAAGACGTCGCAACGACCTTCGTCAGCGCGTTCTCAACGGCCAGGTCGACCTCGAAGCACTCGGCGTAAAGCGTCTCAACGTGACGCAACAAGTACTCGACAAGCTACCAATACACACGTTTTCTGGAAATAGTTCAAGTCATTCGGAAAAGGCCGACCCAGAATCCCTTGCTCCATCAAACGCCGGTCCCTCTGCTGCTGCAAATGCTGAAACTGGCCAAAAACCCACTCTAACTCGTCACTCGTCTGCACCTGAACTACCAAAAACGTCCATGTCCAGTTCTTGGTCGCAACCCACGTGTCCCATCTGCATGGACGACTTTGAGCCAAACGAATCTCAAGTGCGAGAGCTCCCTTGCCACCACATCTTTCACCCCGAGTGCATCGATCCCTTCCTGCTCGGTCACTCATCACTGTGTCCCATGTGCAAGCGGAGCGTGTTGCCCACGGGTGTGTGTCCAGTCAAGATCACAAACATCATGGTCCGGCGGGAGCGGCACATCAACCGCATCCGGGCGCGCAGTGCCCGTGCAGGGAACCCCCAACCAAGCTCAACTACAGCTATGAACCCGGACCCATCAGCATCACCGGCTTCACCTACTCGACCGCCCATGGCTCAGGCATCACTCGGTAGTCGAATAGGCGGAGCCATCACAGGACGCAGAATCTTTAGTGCACCACACCGAACGCAATCTCGACCGAGTGACATTGAAATGGCAATGACGTCGCCATCAGGCCCTCCACCACCACATCTGCCACCCAACGCATCATCTTCACAACAATCCCAAAACTGCGACTCTGCCCAAAGTCGCAGAGAATGGGCCCGACAACGGGCTCTGGCCATGCTTGGCCCTCACCAAGCGCCCGCCACCGATGAAGACGAAGAGCAAAATCTTCCAAAATGGAGGCGCGTCCTTCGCAAAGTCTTCCCAACGTAGTCATCACCAAGGTGTTTCCCTGTCTGGTGATCTTCTTCCTTTTCTTTTCCTCAACATCATGATACCAGGGCATCGGCTCGGCGCAAACAAACCCGTCAATTAGTACTGTAAGAGTTCAACAACGGAGTTTGGCGTAGTTAGTTTTCATCTTCTTCACATCATGCATAGTCTTTTCCATTAGCATCTATATAAATCACTATCCTTCGATATTCCACTATATATCAAAATCATTTTAGATCCAAACCTCTTCTCCATCAATTACATTACTGTCTGTCTGGTTAAGGGCCTATTATTCATCTATTCCAATACTCGGGAGGATGACTCTTCGATATTCGACGTTGGTCTCGAGACAGACTGGAAGGTCTATAGCTTTGAGTGGAGAGCATATTGTTCTAGGAACGGATACGGACTGCTAAACGCCAACATAAGTGTACATGTCTGTCGTGGCGGGTCGAGCAACAGCCCCGGAAAATTAGTATGAGTACTTGGCGTCCATTTTCATGTTGAAGTCAGCGGTGATGTCCAGGCCAGCGGTAATGGTAGTTTGTCCGTTGAAACACTTCAGGCAACCGCTATACCGCGTCATGGCTCTGGAAAATCCCATCTTAAGAACGCCGCCACCTGTCTTGATGATCTTGTTGAGTTTATCCAGCCTCCTTACAAAAGTGTCGAACCATCGGCGGCCAAGCTGGTATGCATCCTCAGCAGCAACCACGCCATGGATTTGAGCGATTTGTATATCACTAGGCGAAGCCCGCTTCTTGACTTTCTCCGAGTTATTGGCTTTGCCAACTTGATGTTTTCAGTCGACGAATGATGGGCTCTTGTCAATCGAACGTTTGCGACTTTTTGACCGTGAATCAATGATTCCATCCCAATAGGAAAGGATGTTAGTATAGTCGACACGCAGATTGACCGGTTTGTCATCTCGCTTGATTAGGTGGAAATTGTAGTCGAGATTGAGTACGTAAATTCCATTTTTGCATGCTGTCAATCCTCGCTTAGGAATCGCCCATGCAGGCAGCCTTAATGTAGACCCAGGCATCATCCGTATCATGCGAGCCCACGGACCTTCATTGACAAGGGGAGAAAGTCTGATGGTAGTGTCTTCGGCGCCCTTGTAGAAGGTTTTGCGAAACCTTTTAGAATCGGCGGGGTGGCTGCAGTACAGTCGGATGGTTCTCACCGCACGATCGGAGACCGAGTTCAGTGTAGTCTGTTTTGTCGTGATGATGGACCTCTCCTTGCGGCCTACTGGCTCCTCATCAGTAAGAACCGTGGACGGGGTGTGGAAAACATCATTCATCGATCCAGGAGGGACGTCAAGCATAACGAAACCGTAAGGATCGTCGCCAGGATCCTCCTCCAGATCATTTGGTGTTGTATCCTTTTTGTTGTGCCGAAGTTATTGAAGAAATCCCAACTGACGTCATCGCCTTTGTCGTCGTAATAGATGCTCCACAGGTAGTTTGGCTCTGCCGGCCACTGTTGATTGAATCGAGACGGGGGCTAGCAACAAAGAGGAAAATCCGGTACAGCGGAAGGATCAGTTGCGAATTACTTAGAGAACTCTCCGCTGTCGAGAGCGTGTGGCTTATTGGGCCGATCAGCTGATATGAAGGTTACGGTCATCTTGATCGTCTCAGACGCACACTGGGCAAGCGAGGATGTGCAAAGTTCGCATATTACGTTGCTGAGTAGTCATTAAAAGTACCTTGGAGTCTTTCTGGCCCTATTTCACACTTTTTTGATTAATCTACAGCTTGTGGGTGGTGAGTTACGAAACATCATCGGCCTACTGAGTGTTTTAGGACTGTCGAAGGAACTAGTATCGACACCTCCCATCTCAAGAATACGCTCACAACGCTCTGGGTAATATTAGCCGTTGATCCTTTTTGCGTGAAAACACAGATCCTCATACCACCTGTGTTTTCATCATATCTGGTCACCATCTCAGTCTCATTGTCACGACAGGACTTCCTACAGCCAGCCCATGAGTTCGTCTTCAAGATCTCGGTACCGTCGCAACGAAGCTTTCTCTGTTAGCTTTTGCAGTCAGCAACCGGCAGCACCACTTACACTTCATATACCAGAGGGGCAATACCCTTTACGTCGAAGTAAGAGTCGACGTTGAGCACGATTGAGAAGCTCCACATCCACGGTCACAACCGAACGCGCTACTATGCTCCAGCGCACCAACCCACTCGCACTTCTTTGCCTGTGCTTTAGTGAGGCAACATATGTAGCGCCACCATCCTTCCGAACATTCCCCATTGAGATCGTAGTCATAGTTCCGTTGTTCTGGGGCATGACCTAGCTGGACAGGAGAGAAACCACTCTTGCATACTTGGTCTTAGGTTTTCTCCCCGACGGTACCGCTAGTGCAAATTGGCGTTGTATAGCAACGTTTACCTGTGTATGCTGAAAGATCAAACGCGAGTCGACCGGCTTCACCAGCATCAAGTCCAGATCTTTTTATCGGCATCTTTTCCATAACTTCTTCTCTAAAGAGAGCGGTCATAGTTGGGTGATCTTGGATATCAAGATCGAGCCACCAGAGTTTCAACTTTGTCAAGCATTTGGAGAATATGCACCGCTTTCTGGCTTCAAAAGACTCTTCATCATCATCATCATCATCATACTGGATCCATTGGTCGGGCCCATACACCATCCAATTCACAGAATATTGCTCATCATAGTACACCTGAGATCCGAGCCAACTCTTATGCCCTTGAACTTCTGAGTAGGACAATATTCCGGCTTCGAGAGTGCAGTCTCCGGCAAAGCCTGCGCTAGGGAATCGGCAGTTCGGTAGTGTAGTACATTTCGTATCCTCCATGGTGAAACTGCGGCCGTAGAAGCTAAAGCCCAACACGATTTTGTCAGGAGAAACGCCATTGCACCAGCGAAGATCCAACCACTGCTCAATCTCTGCCAGGTTTGTATGACCTTTTAGGGACATGCCAGTCCACACATTCCTCTAATCCCAAAGTTTGTGAGTGCCGTGTATCATGATGCTGGAGGAATCAACATACTTGTCCAAATTGTTCAAACTGAAGCCTCGTGGGTACCAGTACCAAGCGGGCGGAGTCAGGGTCAGCTAGAACCAGAGTCTTCTTTATCGAATGCATCACGAATTTCGCAACAGAGTAGTACGGAGTTGCTGTAATCCTCCTTCTTGCCGCTGCGATCTTCGATTACATCATACTCCCAGCCTAAGCAAGACGATATTGTCCCCTTGGCAAGCGAGAGACATAAAAAACGCAGCAAGTTTAGCGTTATTGAGTCTTATCGCAGAGTAAAAAGAACTAATTCTCTAGACTCTTCGGCCAGATATTAGATATACTGCGACACACCCGCTAGGTTAGTAATAAACGCTTACCTAAGCTGTCTCTCTAGTAGTCTATGAGTAATAGAAGTAACAGTAAGTCTTTCTTGAGTTATCGTTAAGAGTCTCTAAAGTAGTAAGTAGATTTAAGTTAAAATAATTAGTAAATCTAGACTTATTATTCCTTTTTACTTTATACTTAAGATTACCTACCTAGGTATAGTGCTTAAGGTTAAGTACTAGACTAGTAAATAAGTATAGTGTATTAAGAGTTTAGAAGTAAATAGTATGGTGGTAAATGGGTAGATGTAGGTGTTAGGTTAGGTTAGACTAGTAAATAGGTAGAGTCTACCTAGAGATATAGTCTAGGTTTGGTTAGATTATATAGACCTTAGATAAAGGTAGTAGTAGAGGTTTTTGGCGTTAGGTAGTAGTTAGGTTAGGTCTTATAGAGATATAACCTAACTTAACTACTACTTAGAGTCTATACGCTCTAACCTCTACTACTATCTAATACTTAGAATCTCTACTACTATCTCTATCTAAGATTTATATAATTTAATCTAATTTAAACTATATTTTTAGATAAACTTTATATATCTACTAGCTATAATTACTTAAATTTCTTATATATTATATTAAAACTATATTATAGTTTTATAGAGAGATTAGTTTTCTATATAGTAATTTTTATTAATAAACCTTATTTATAAACTATTCTATTACTTTTACAGATTATAAAATTAATTAAAATAATTAAGTATAGTAGTATAAAGAGTAAAAATACTTATATAAGAATAATATTATCTTTTAATTTACTAGATAACTTTATAATTTAATATTTTTACTAACTAGATTTACTTCTTTAGTCTTTATTATCTCTTTACGTATAGAAAGCTTAAAAAGATTATTAATCTTATTCTATAGTTAATTTTTAGATAGTATAGTATTAACTATCTAGTTAAGCTTATTAATAATAGTATACTTAAGAACTAGTATTATATAAATTTTTTAGGCGCTACGCTTATATCTCTAATCTCTAATTATATTTTCTATAATATTAAAAATTTACTTTATACTATCTTAAGTAATAGATATAGTAAAAATATCTTTAGTAGCTTAAATAAAGTAAAAGTAAATTAATAAGTTTACTTTTTATTAGTATAAAACTTAAATTACTTTTTTTCTTTTATATAGAGAGTACATTAATATAGTATACTTTCTTAGTAGGTTAAATCTCTCTCTTTATTAATTTCTTTAACTTAGAAATTATAGCTAAAGGAAAATAAGTTACTAAACTATAACTATCGTAAAAGAGCTTATATAACTATTTAGAGCTTTATAATCTTAAAGTATATAAGCTAGTTAATAGTTATTGATATTTTTAGATATTATAATTACTAAAATAGTTCATAATCTATTAATAGTATATATACTTATTATTTTAATTCTA